TGGACGAGACACTTAAAATAATGTCGCTGTACACCATCAGTTTCAAAATTTTACTGGTGTTGGTGGATCCCCTGCTGCTACATTTCTATCATATTCCCAAAACTCGTAAAAAATATTAACACTGGAAATCATTGGTCCAAAACATTGACCTAAAAAATAAAGCTTTTGAATCGAAGTATAGAACATATTATGAGGAGCAGACTTACTAAATGCATTTTGTCCATTTTTTAAGATTTTCAGCCAAAGGTGGCATTGCAAACTAGATACACAGAGTTACAATATGATGCCATAAACGACGTGTATAATAAATTTTATCCAATTCGAATTAAATGGCGAAAACGCCAAGACTTTCTATCTGCGGTAGATAAACATACAGAAGTATGTCATTGTTTGCTGTGGATATACTGCTGTGTGTTTGTCATTGCCATATGAGAGTTTTTTTGTGTACTACAACTTCTCTATTTTTTTTAAAATAATACTACTTTAATGAAACTACGACTGGGGACCATGTAGTTGGGGATACGGACCGTGGTAGGTAACAGAAAATTAAAGAGAAATTTCACGTTTAAAGAACAGTCTACAGTTTTTTTTCAAATTTTTCAGATATCATCAAAATTAGATCTTTCACATGTAGGTGTACTATTTTTATGATTTTCTATCCATTTTACAAGTATACTAGTCTGTCGGTAAGTTTGTTCCAAAAAGCGCGGCAGATTTTCTTTGTTTGCCCAAATTCGAAAAAATGGACAAAATGCATCTGGAAAGTCTGCCCTCATATACTTTCACTTGACAGACTATTTAAATATAATGATAATTCCAATCCAATTAAAAAAAGAGAGACATAATGATATATAGAGTAAATTATTAATTGGTTCTGCTAAAATTAAATTATGATCTAAACTAAAAAACGGAAAAGTGCACCAATATAAAAATCTAATTTTCTTGTTTTTCCTTACGTTCAGCATAAAGACAAATCCAGGGCTCATTAAAAGTGACGTTTAATTTTAGAAAGAACGACAATTTTTCTAGGTTAAGAGCTGCTTTCGTCTCATTTCCTGCCGATTTAATAGGTCGAGAAAATGGGAAAAACCGGCGACGGGCATCGGGGAAAATCGAAAATTTTCGGTATCTCGTCGGGCGGAAAGTTAATATTCGACGTTTATAGGTGGATTAAAAGTTTTACGATGGGAGTTGCACAAGACTGTAGCCGATAAGTTAATGTCTTTATTGGGTAATAAAATGGATATACAAAAAAATTATAGGCATGTATACAAATAGAGTTGGAGTATATGTTTGATATTTAAATATAATATCAAGGTTAGATGTAATATTAAATCTGATGCTAGTTTATCGGAACCGTTGACGGTTATTTTCTATGCAGTTTGCCAAGTTTTACTTCTATCCTTGTCTGAAAATAAAACCTGCAAAAAATAGTGTTACAAGATCTTGTAACAGAAATGTTAAAAAACATTTTCTGCAATTTGTGTCCAAGATGCTTCCGTTTTCAGCAGCCACTGTTTCTAAAAAAAAAGCAAATTCATCGTTTCGTTTAATAATGTACTTTCATATTTTTAATATCCCTTCTATACAGACCGGACCACCGTAGTAGTAACATAGGCAGAACCGGACGAATTATCGTATACCCGTCCGCCGGATAAAAAGCAGGCAAAAAAATGCGATAAAATAAAAATAAGTAGATATGTGATAAGAATGTTTCAGAATTTGTATTATTCGTATTTTAATAGCCACAATGAATACTTAGATTCTCGCGACAGTTCTCGTGTAAAATTTATGTTTTATGTAAAATAATGGATGTTTACGAAGTTCGTGAGAAAATTCAAATTGTAAAATGGTATTTCCAAAATAGGTCTTATTGGGATATACAAACAATTATTCCACAAACTTTTGTAGACAGGCCAATTCCATCTTTACCTACTGTATACATGGGTGCGTGTTACCACAAAAACAAAAAAAGCCTGATGTGTTGATTAATGAAGAACAGGAGTTAAAGCAAGTGTTCATTTGTGCTACCGCGGATCAAAATCCCACGTTTTCAAGTAATCAAATTGCTGAGGTGGTTGTCCTGCCCACAATGCCCGTATTGTTTACGAATATTTGAACAATACTTTTCCCAACCGTTTAATTAGTGGACAACTATTTTGTGGCCCGCTAGATTACCAGATCTTTCTCCCAATGACTTATTTTTGTGGAGTTATGTAAAATCCAAAGTGTATGGTCATAATAGGGCTAATAATCTGGATGAGCTTCAAGTAAAAATACGAGAGGCTTTCCAAACTATTAGCCCTAATATGTTAGCCAATGTCAGACGGAGATTTTAGGACCGCCTAGGCTTCTGTCTAGCACAAGAAGATGGTCTTTTTGAACCCTTGTTATAACTTTTTTTTATTTAGAGTAATATTTTAGTTTTTTTTTGGGTTTAGAGAATTTATTTATTTTTAGTTTTGGCTTGCAAACACACTCAAATAATAAATATTTAAGTATTTTAATTTTAAATGTTACCTTAAATGAAGGTAAACACTTAAAATGAAAATAAGAAATACTCGGCACTCCTCAAGTCGTATTCCTAGTCTGTCACGACCGACCCGTCCAAGCACAACTGCAACTGCGTACTGCCTGACCAGCCGACTAGCCGGCAGTGAATCTCGAGTACGAACGCAAAACGGGTAAACGTAAATTCGTCCGGCAACTTGCTATGTTACTAGTAGCCTGGTCTTCTCTGTATATCATTATTTGTTGCTACATAATATTTTTGTTTAAATTATACATTTTTATTTTTATTTCTATATCATGGTTCTGAAAATAAAAATATATAAATTAATGTAAGTAGTATTCTTATGAGTTTAAAAGCTCAACAGCTGATTAAAACATATATTTTTAGTTAAAAACGCTACAATAGCCAACACAGCTGAATTTTAATTCATTATTACATAAAATTGACAAGGAGTAGGACACAAATCATCTACATTATATCATATTTGTGTCTAAAAAGAGAAAAACTCGTGGTTCGAAAATGAATCGACAATAAAATGGAAACCTTATTTCCAAAATGTTTCCGTTTAGCGCTATCTGTGTAGAAATTTCGAACGAGTCACCTGTCAACAACGCCAATCCGAACTTTAATTTAAACATTTTTATTTACTTATTATAACACAATTAAAACATAAAAACATGTATTCCGTTGTGGAAAAAAGAGAAAAAAAACGTTTGCTGCTAACATTTTTCTTCGGTCTCCTGTTGGGTATGGGTAGTGGCTGTTATTACATTTAATCCTAAAACAAATAATCTCTGGAATGCGTATAATAAATTATTATAAAATCGATAAGAAACATATCTCTATTTGTAGTCACCATATATATGTCCATTCCTCTGCTTTTTTTTAATTATACTATAAAAACATTTTAAGAATGCTTAAATTGTTAAGTCTTCCCCATTTTGCAAAAACTGCAGAAAAAAATCCAAACTGTAAAATTGACAGATTATCAAATAAATTATGGAAACTTTTCAGGCACAAAACGGGTACGAAATCTTTGTAAATGTGAGCCACATCTGTTTCTTAAAAGTTTCGAAAAATTTGTGACACTAAGATCTTTATTGTTATAGCTTATGTAGCGAAACCATATTTTGGTAAAATATTTCGAAACAAAAAGCGATTTATTATACGAAACATATGTATAAAAAATGTGACGAAACTGTTTCGTAATGTTTCTTAGCGGAGATTTTGTTTCGATTTTGTGTCTAAAAATGTTATTTGGGTATTAGTATGAATATTGATTGATATTGTCATCTCAAGATTAATATTTTTTCGATGGTAATCTAATGGCAATTGGGGTGATAATCTTTTTGTCACCCGGTAAAACAACAACAAGCTTTTTTTTCATGGACGAATCTTACGAGTTATATTTTTTTAGAATTTCTATTAATTATAACATTGGCAAAAACAGCATATTATTATTGTACCTACTTTATTTTGAAATTTAATGCATTATAAAATACTATACAATGTTCCTTTAATATTTTCCTCAGCTGTAAAAGCAAAGGAAGTGTAATGAGCAAGGCAATATCGCTACTTGTGGTTAAGCAGGTGTAGCTAAATGCTACATTTCCTTTAATATAAAGGTGCTAAATTTCCCCCTCCTGTTTGGTTCATTTAATGTTATAATATGCGGTTCATAATGATAGTATTACTCAAAATACTAAGTAAGTGGTACCAAATAATATACAATATTTGTAAAAAATACTTTTTTCAAATATACTAATGAGTCACTCTTGTTCCATTTGAAAAAAAATGAGATATGATTAAAAATACGATTTGATCATCTTTTAACCGGCCATGACAAGACACGTAAAATATTAGACGATCAAATTTAATTTTCCATGTTCTTAACAGAGCCACAGCATTCTAGATTGAAAAATAAAATAGGATTTTTTAAGCGAGAATGTCAACAGTTATAATATGTCTTTCTATTCAGAGTATCATTTTCTATCGAATAAAGTATAAAAAATACCCAGGGGCCATTTAAAATTCCAAAGTTTAAGTAATTTCCGGTGAAACAGGAAGGGACCGAAAACAATTGAATATGTCGATCAATCCTAATTTATGTCACATACTAACATACCTCTTTTGTTTACCTTGAAAAAAAACCGGTATTGCAATTAATATTAGTCATGTCTTAAACTGTAAATGTGTTATAATATAGCCTGGTCTTATAGCCCAGTCAAATTAGACAAATCGGTGGAAATAATTCCTAGAGTTTTCCTAGATTTGTGCTGATATGTCACAAGAATGCAGCGAGGTCGAGAGGGGAGTACGGGTTAAATGTCAATTTTATCACTTTTTCTCTTATATCTCGGTAAAGATGACTCCTACAGAAAAATACTTCATATACAAAATTAATTTCCTACTACTAAAATTGTATTTTTTGTTTAAGTCATTTAGTATATTTATTCTTTATTTACTAATGAGTTTATATTGGTTTCAGATGTAATGACAATGAATACAGTTGCAATTTTGCTTCTGGTGATGGCTAGAATGAAATTATTGGCTGGACTTCCTGACACCATCCCTATAGGTAAATTAAGACTAGTTATTTATTTTAGAATAAGTACTATGATATTGTTTATTAAATAGCCAATTAAGCCCATAAATTAATTCAACGTTTACATTTAATATAAGCACATTCAATACTATAACAAGTAACAACGAAACTGAGTAACAGTGACAAAATATATTAAAGTAATTAAAGAAAACTACAGAATATTTTTGAGAATGACGTTATATTTTTATGTCTTTCTAAATAGGAGCACGTCTTGCTATAGTTTGCACCATCAGACATTTAGAGACAAATTCTTAACTCTTATTGTGTAAAATGGTTAATATAGGTGCTCACTTGATATTGTGGATGAAACTTTCTGCATTTTGCAATATGCATTAGGGCAATCTTCGTTTCGGTTATTTGCTATTCTTAAATTTTCCCTTCAGCCGCTTGTTTTCGGGCAAATTTACTGATACTATAAAAAATTACTTGTAAAAGGTGGCAGATGTAGCAAAAGTAATTGGTTGCTCTCTACAGGGTGGCCCATCGAAAACGTTTCGGAAGGAATAACAGACAGGGTATTTTTTTTCAAAAAATTCAAAAACACGTCAATTTTGTTTGTGAGGGGGACAACTTTTGACCCAAAAATGATTGCAAAATCTTCAACCCTCTAAGCGGGGGTGTCATCCCCCAACTTTTTTCAAATGGGAAGGGGGGTCAGGTGGCGCCGCAATGAAAAGGGCTTTTATTCTCTATATTCCCCGCTTTGTTTTTAAAAATCGGTCGAGTCATTTTTAAAATATGAAGGATTGAAATTTGAAAAGTACTTTTTGCAAAAAAACGCATAAATTGAATTAATTAAAAAAAACTTAACTTATTAATGAAGCAAATGCTGAAAATGTTGCCCGTCAACCTCCATACAGTAATACAAATTATTTTCAAACAGTTCTCGAACATTCTGAAGAACTTGCGGGGTCACTTCGCGACAAACATCAATAATTCGTCTTCGCAGGTCTTCTAATGAGGCGGGTGGAGTGCTATATACTTAACTTTTTATGTCTCCCCATAGAAAAAAGTCTAAAGGAGTCAAGTCGGGTGACCGAGGAGGCCACTCAATTGCACCCCTTCGTCCTGTCCACCGATCGGGAAAGTTATTGTTCAAAAATTACGCACATTTTGAGAACAATGTGGAGGTGCACCGTCTTGTTGAAATATTAGTTCCACTTCAACGTATCCAGGATTGTTCTCTATGATGTCAGTTAGGACTGGGTCGATGGTATTTTCCAGTAAATCAAAGTACATATCATTTGTTTGATTTCCAGGAAAAAAAAACGAAACCAGTTTTTTGCTACTAACTCGCGAACAATTTTGACATACACCTGTTTGTCAGGATGGCGTTCATTGAATATCTACGCAACCCGATTGCCACATTCATTATTTTTAAAATTTAGTTCGATTATTTCCACTTTTTCTGCAAGTGAGTACACCATAATTGATAAAAAATTTAACGATATTGAGAAGAACTTCAACGCACAAGTCACAGAACAGCTATCTAGCAACTACCCCACCTGATCTTTCAACCTTGTGGCAAGTGAAAAAATGCGTAAACATCTAGAAATAATAAGAAAAAACAACAAATTGGTTGAAGGAATTTATCCTTATCATTTACACTGATAAATGTTTAAATAAACTTTTCAAATTTCAATCCTTCATATTTTCTCAATGACTCGACCGATTTTCAAAAACGAAGCGGGAAAGTATAGAGAATAAAAAGCCCTTTTCATTGCGGTGCCACTTGACCCCACTTCCCATTTGAAAAAAAGTTGGGGGATGACACCCCCGCTTAGAGGGTTGAAGATTTTGCAGTCATTTTTGGGGCAAAAGTTGATCCCCTCACAAACAAAATTGACGTGTATTTGGATTTTCTGAAAAAAAAAAATTACCCTGGTCGTTATGCCTTGCGGAACGTTTTCGATGGGCCACCCTGTATACGTCATAATTCGATTGCCGGTCGTCCGGTTTGATGACTTCGGTCGTGTGAGACGACTAATGTTGGAGACCCGGTCGGAATTGGTATATTGGTAGTGTGGACAAAGAAATCCGCCATTCTTAACAGGTATCCGATTGTCAGCCATTTTAAAATCGTTTTTCGTTTTTAAAATTTATATTCAGATTCCGATTTTTAGTAGAACAATATTGATAAGGTTGAGTTTGGGGGGAACCAAAGTAGAGTTTTATGATTAAACCAGCTAGAAAATAAAAAAAAAATATTTTGCGAGTTACTTTTTTATAGATATTTTTATTTCATAAAACTACCTAATTTTGAAGGCGCTCGTTGTTTTCCGGAGTATTTAAATCAGATATATCAAAAAAGTGACATCCGTTTACAAAACTGATGTCTGGATTAATGATTCAGAATTATTATAATATGAAATTAGGTAGGCACTTATAGTTATATATTCGAGGAGTGATTTTCGAGGATGATCCATTTGTAATGAGATAGTTTGGTTAGGTTTTTATGTATTCTAGGTAGCGAATTTGAAACTAAATGTAACGTAGGTGCTTAGAGACGAATTTTAAATGACTGAAATCCAACGTAATATTACGTTGGTAATTGGTAGAATTACACTCCGTATTAGGTCAGATACCGACGTTGAGGCGACCCGAATGTGTATTCCTCATTTAGGTGCAAATAAGGGTCGTCAGGCGGTCGAACCGACGCGACGTTGGTGTACCCGACGTCGGGTTTATTGAACTCGACGTATACCCGACGTTAGATAACGTCCAAATGCTACTTGGGTCGGAACTGGAATTTCGAAAAATCCCTTCTTATCGAACCTCTACACCCTAAAATCAACCTGTATGCCACATTAGAATCAGCCTGTATGCCAAAATTGAGCTTCTTACGTTGAGTGGTTTGAGCAGGATCATGATTAATCAGTGAGTCAGTCACTTGGACACTTAAAACGGACATCATAAAAAACGTCGCACAACGTTCAATGGAACAAAATATGCTGGGAATAACCAAGAGAGACCGTAAAAGAATAGAGTGGATACGACAAAACACTCAGGTAATAGATATAATCCACAGAGTAAAATCCCTCAAATGGCAATGGGTCCTGCCCTGAAATATGTGTTTATACTTGCCATGTTTAACGACAATTTAATAACCAAGATAGACCGTAAAAGAATAGAGTGGATACGACAAAAAATAATAGATGTCATCCACAGAATCAAATCCCTTAAGTGGCAATGGGCAGGACACCTGGCAATAAGAACGGACAACAGATGGACAACAAAAATTACAGCATGGTAGGTACTTACGGGGAATTAAGAGATCCCAAAGATCAAACCTGGGGTGGGACCATGATATTACGAAATTAGCAGGGATAACTTAGACCTGCATAGCCAACAATAGAGAACAATGGGCGCAACTACAAAGAGAGGATCTAATTATGTGAAAGAGGTTACAACATAATTGGAAATGGTTGAATAAGCTGAAAATGATGATGATATTTTATTCATTACTGTCAATTACGGCTTATGTACATACACTTGCCAAATAGACTTAAATACAATAAGTGTAGTTAATGAAACAAATTAAACAATAATATTATATAAGTATGGACAGCGTTAATTAAAAAATAGATTTAAAAACTTTCTGTGATTCCGTAATAACTAGTAGCTAGTAATTTAATAGACTTTTTGACTTAATCCACTTGCTCTTTAATAAATTTAAAAGCATCTGAAATGAATTTATTCGCTTTTAAATTAACAATACCGACCACTTTCCGAGCTCAATAAAAAAGAAACATCAATTTAAGGAGAAAATACGTAACAATGACTGGAAGGAAAATCGAAAGGCCCTTTGGATTGTGCTGCAAACGGCGAACCGCGCCTCGAACAGTGACAAAGAAATGTAGCACGTGCCTGGAAAAATTACATTTTCCGAAGGTAAAAGGGAATATTTTCGGGCTGTTTTACATTTCTATTGCTTTTCTACCGGCTTGTTTCTACTTGGCTAGATGTAAATGCGTAGTTTAGTTAAGGTTTCTTTTTCTTGTTTTTTTTTGTTTTTTTTTAATATGGAATGGAGGGATAAACCTACTACCTAATTTAAACATAATTATTTCACGCTAAAACGGTTTACAAAGGTTTACGAATTTTACATTTGAAAGTATCTACAGATCTAACTTTTTTAAATAAATACCTAACCTTTGTGTATACGGGGTGTTTCAAAAAACATGTGCCATCTCACGTAAAAATAAGATTTATATTTTATATCAATATAGGTCCGATTGTGCTTTTCCTCGTAGCTAGATGGGGTTAAAGTCTTATTTTTTTTTCGATTTATTATAATTTTCTTCCAAGTACTTTTAGCGATTTGAATGAAGTTTTGCGGGTAAAAGTTACTATAAGTACTGCATATTTGAATGCTAAAAAAGTATCGACAGAATCACCAGGGGCGTACATATGGGTTATTACTGGAATATTGTTTTTCTAAAAAAAGCATGTACGCCAGTGGCTTTTTTTTCTTGTTAGCGAAATAATGTAAACCCTTTAAAGCTGATTAAAACTTGTCTCTTGATATTTTGTCGATTTTGGCCTCTTTGATTAGATAAATGCAATTTTATTATTTTATTTGTCATAACCCAAATTTAATAACAATCTTTAAAAAAAATTAATATAATTAACTTACGAAAGTGTTAAATAAGTAATCATTAATTCCTCATCAAAAAATATGAAAAAAAAGTTCCTATAAACATGGGTATGGAAATGTATATTTATAAAGTTACAGGATGTTAAAACTTATTTAAAATAAGTCTTTTGTACTTATATTAAATACCATTATTTTTTATTTGAAATTGCTGTAGGTTAAACTAATAGTAATAATAACTCATAGTAATAATATTTAAAAATAAATAAAATAAAATAAATAATTTATTTAATTTTTATTTTAATTTTATTAATTCTGATTAATAAAATAGCGTTTATCCCGTCACGGAGATCGAAATCGACAAAATATCAAGATACAA